ACAGTTAGTGATGTGACCATAAGCAATGTATTAACCTTTGCTCATCACTTAAGAATGACCTAGCAACTACATAACAACACCTTCACTGTAAAAAATATTTTCAAGATTTGTTATCACAACATATTTTCTTTTGTCAAATCAACTTTATAATAATTTATTTAGTTGAGATAACTTATTATTTTGAGTTTCTGATGGTTAAATTATTCTAATTCATTGTATTAACTCACTTTTTCCAGTTCAATCAACTTAAAATTGTAAGGCAACCCAGGTTACTTACTTTTTTAAGTGAAACCAACAATATTTTTTTTTACAGTGTAGTAATCACAACATTTTTTCTTTTGTCAAATCAACTTTATAATAATTTATTTAGTTCAGAATCAGATAACATATAATTTTGAGTTTCTGAGGGTTAAATTAATCTCCTTCATTCTATTAACTCACTTTTTCCAGTTCAATCAACTTAAAATTTTAAGGCAACCCAGGTTACTTACTTTTTTAAGTTAAACCAACAATATTTTTTTACAGTGTAGTAATCACAACATTTTTTTCTTTTGTCAAATCAACTTAAATAATTTATTTAGTTCAGATAACATATAATTTTGAGTTTCTGAGGGTTAAATTAATCTCCTTCATTGTATCAACTCACTTTTTCCAGTTCAATCAACTTAAAATTTTAAGGCAACCCAGGTTACTTACTTTTTTAAGTGAAACCAACAATATTTTTTTTACAGTGTAGTAATCACAACATTTTTTCTTTTGTCAAATCAACTTTATAATAATTATTTAGTTCAGAATCAGATAACATATAATTTTGAGTTTCTGAGGTTAAATTAATCTCCTTCATTCTATTAACTCACTTTTTCCAGTTCAATCAACTTAAAATTTTAAGGCAACCCAGGTTACTTACTTTTTTAAGTTAAACCAACAATATTTTTTTACAGTGTAGTAATCACAACATTTTTTTCTTTTGTCAAATCAACTTAAATAATTTATTTAGTTCAGATAACATATAATTTTGAGTTTCTGAGGGTTAAATTAATCTCCTTCATTGTATTAACTCACTTTTTCCAGTTCAATCAACTTAAAATTTTAAGGCAACCCAGGTTACTTACTTTTTTAAGTGAAACCAACAATATTTTTTTTTACAGTGTAGTAATCACAACATTTTTTCTTTTGTCAAATCAACTTTATAATAATTTATTTAGTTCAGAATCAGATAACATATAATTTTGAGTTTCTGAGGGTTAAATTAATCTCCTTCATTCTATTAACTCACTTTTTCCAGTTCAATCAACTTAAAATTTTAAGGCAACCCAGGTTACTTACTTTTTTAAGTTAAACCAACAATATTTTTTTACAGTGTAGTAATCACAACATTTTTTTCTTTTGTCAAATCAACTTAAATAATTTATTTAGTTCAGATAACATATAATTTTGAGTTTCTGAGGGTTAAATTAATCTCCTTCATTGTATCAACTCACTTTTTCCAGTTCAATCAACTTAAAATTTTAAGGCAACCAGGTTACTTACTTTTTTTAATTAAACCGTCAATATTTTTTTTACAGTGTTGGAAACCTCCCACAACAATCTTAATTTTTTAAAAAATATTTCTTTTTAACATTTGTGAAAAAATGGAATTAAAAAAATAATAAATAAAGTGCATTTAGTGAAAGTCAGTGGGGTGCAAAAGAACCCCAATTGGACACAATTAACTTTAGAGGTATAGACAAAAAATAAGTGTAAAAAAACCCCCAAGAAAATGATCATTAAATTATCATGTGAAGGGTGAACTTAATATGTCACTGATACTTTATGTGAAAAGCACACTTCACAATTCCAAAGCTAAATTTTAACAATGACATCATTATGCCTGCATTGTTTGACAATTTTGCATGCCATATTTGCTTCTCTCTCTCTCTCTCTCTCTCTCTCTCTCTCTCTCTCTCTCTCTCTCTCTCTCTCTCTCTCTCTCTCTCTCTCTCTGTCTCTCTCTCAGTGACTAGTTTTGGTCAGGAAAGTCTAATGAAGCATGATGTGTCAAAGTGTAGAGGAGCAGTGCATTCCTGAGAGCTTCTGAATGAATTCCACAGACGCTTTGAGTTGTTTAGTGTTAGTCTGAGCGCAGCGCCGCATTCCTTCAACAGGCCACCACGTTAACTGCAGGAAATGGAAACAGCGACATTGTTAGATTGTGACTGTAGAAACTGAGACAGAAAAACAGAGAGTTAGTCTGAGGTGTAGTGTGAGTGTCCTGAGCAATCATTAACTTATAATCAAGCACAATCATCTGTATATTAAGAGTTCAGATGCAAAAGCCTCTAAATGCCATTTGAAATTTTCTTCTTTAATGATGATTTTTATCAAACTTGTATATTTAAGTTCAGTAATTTCACTTAAATAACAATTAATAGGTAATTATCATTGCCATTTAAATGAAATTTCTGAACTTAAATATACAAGCTTGATCAAAATGATCATTCTAGAAGAAAATTTCAAATGGCACTTAGAGGCTTTTGCATCTGAACTCTTCATATGGAGACAAAAAAAAAACATTTTAGAATTTAAATCAGCACAATTAATCATATTCTCATGCTCTTAGTTCATAAATCTGACATGCATGAAATATTTAATTGGGGAAATAGCAACATGTAATGATACAAGATGAGTTATGATCTTCAAAAATGATGGGAGCGTTAACAAACGTTTGCTTTAGTTATTTCTGTTTGTTCTTGACCTCCACATTTCCAACAGGACAAATAATCCGCGAGGTGCCATTGTTTGGTAGATTGTGACATCATCACTCTGGCATTTCCTGCCCCCCTGCAGTGGCTATCCTTACTGTTTAATATTTGTCCAGTTTTTGTTTTGAAGGGAAGGGTAGTTGCTGTTGAGGTTAGGGTCCATTGCATCACATAACAAATTATTGCAGAATCCATTGGTTTTATATTTTCATTGCATATCCATGCATTTTACATAATAACCAACCAAGTTAACTAAATAAATAAATGATTTAGTTATATTCAGTTATAAAAAAAAAAAATCAGGTTCTCTCTGCCATTACCATTGTAGTGATAATATCAGCAAAATATGGAAACTCAATGATGGAAGAGCAGCTAGGGGACATTTCCAGTGTTTAATAAAATGTCTTCCTCCAGGTCAGAATATTTTGCATATTTGAATCAGTGACATTTGTTAACAAGAGTGTGCTGATAGGACTAATGACTTACAAATGATGCTGTCATGACCTCCATTGATGGGGTTTCGTGTTTAATTTGCATATTTTCTGAATGTTATGTCATTTTCCCTGTGTTCAAATATATATATAAGGTTCCAATTTATTTCCATTGTCCACTTTTGACATTTTACTAACTAGAAGTAACTTTGCAACTACATGTCAACTAACTGTCATTAGAGTATTAGTAGACTGTTAGGTTAGGGATCGGCTTGGTATGTAGTTGCAAAGTAACAAATTCAAAGAGGAAAATGTCATTGCTCAGATACACACACACACACACACACACACACACACACAAGAGTATATACAAGTCAAGTCAAGTCACATTTATTTATATAGCGCTTTTCACAATACAGATTGTATCAAAGCGGCTTCACAGTGATAACTTGAAAGTAATACAACACAGATCAATAATATTGTTAAATATTAAATATTAAATATCAGAAGCAAGGCAACAGTGGCAATACGCAAATATACACCCTTGTATATTTATTGTGTATTCTTCTCTATTTTTTGTGTTTATTTAAAATTAGATAAATCTGATATGATTTTAATCTCCAATCTGTTGTTTAACAGTTGATATAGTTCTTTAATGCTATAGTTGTTTAGACACTAGCAGGGTTTAAACCCCAGTTGTGCAGTTGGGGCATGTTGTCACACTGCGTTACATTAGAAATATGATATTATACTCTATACTTTTTATGGATTCTATTGAGAAAACATGAGAAACATGGAAATAAAGAGTGGGAGTCAATGTTTTAGAAATTATTAATTATTATTTTGTTTTGAACTATGCTGTATAGATGTGTTTTCTAGTGTGTTTGTCATCAAACTCAAACATTAGTTTATTTTTAATTATTAAATAAAAATGCCATTATTTTATATGAAAAGGTTAATAATTGTATTTTATTAAGAAAATATTTTGGTTTGACTTGTATATGTTTTTAATTAGATGAGATAGCATTTTAATCTGTTATATGGTGATGTTACAATGTACCCCACCTATGGGGCACGTTGTCACATCTCACTCCCATTCTTTCAGGGTAAATCAAGAAAAAAAGTATTAATAAAACAAAACCACATAATTGTACAAGACATGTGGGAAATAAATGTGGGAAAATAATAAATACTCTAAACCCGAAGTAGATTTACACAAACTGAGAAAGTCAAAAAGCGTTACGCTCTCCTTGTATATAAATGTGTGTGTGTGTCTGAGCAATGACATTTTCCTCTTTGAATTTGTTACTTAGCAATATTACTGTTTTTACTATGTTATGGAATCAAGTAATACACCCTAACCTGTGAGGATATCTACCCAATCTTATTATTCCGTGCCCGTGACACATCCATAATCTGTGGTTGGATATCCTATCAGTCCTGCTTTTTCCTCCGGGGGTTTTCTGCACTAATGTGGAATGTATATCGCTGGACACAAGCAAAACATGCCATTAAATGCTATCTCCTCCTCCGCTGATGATGATGATGATGATGATGACAGCACGTGGGCTCCCCTGCGGAGAAAACAAAGGTTTCCTGTTTCTGTGACACTGACTTCTCCAGGGGGAGCTCATGACATCACTCCCTGTTCCATCCCTTTCTTTCAACCACATCATACATGCTTTGAGCCAATCAGGAGGCAGGAATCTCTGGAATCAGTGGGATATTCAGTATGTTGGGGCGGAGCGTTTGGCAGGATAAATGGAAGGCGGGTTGGTTGAGCTGAACACAAGCACCTGTTAGTCTCTCTCTCTCTCTCTCTCGAGCACTGACTGATCATCTGGATTTGACAATGGCTCTCTCACTGCGGACGGCCGTCTTTATCTCCGTCACACTATGTGTGCTGCAGCAAGGTAAGATACTTCTACCTTTTTAAAGAAGAAGATTCAAAAGTGTTCTGTCCTCTAACTTAAAAAATGATAACCTTGTTGCCTTAAAATTTTAAGTTCAATGAACTGGAAAAATTGAGTTAATACAATGAAGGAGATTGATTTAAGCATCAGAAACTCGAAAGCTTATGTTATCTGAACTACATAATTCATTTAAGTTGATTTGACAAAAAATGTTGTGAAACAAATTTGAAATTTAAAAATTTTTCAAGTTGAAAAAACAAATCATGAAAATATATATTTTTACAGTGTGGGTTACTAAAGTATGAGCTGTGCACTTTCGGTTTCAAAAAGGTTCGATTTACAGTATTATACATTTCAGTTGTTTTAGCTTGACAGCAATAATATTAAATGGAGAATTTTTCTTCTCAGATTTTTGAATTGAGAAAATATCTCCACTAATCAGATGTTATGATTAAATGGTCATATATGTCAGTGTGGACATCTGCACAAAGATAACACACACACACAAAAATGATAAGTGCAGCTGTCGTTGCTCAGTGTCATATCTATATTGTTATACTAGAATTTGTGCATTTATCTGTCCATGTAATTCATTTAATACAGAGTAATAGGAAATATGTGCAGTTGGATCTTTTGTTGGTGATTTGGTCAAGTAGATTTCGAGATTACCGTGTATTTTAGATGACCAGAATGGGTGAATGTGCATCTTCAAAGATTTTGTGTGTTTTCTAGGGTTTGGATATCCACTATCTGAACAGTCTGAAGCATCGGCCAATCCACCTGCTCTCAAACGGGTTCGTACCAAGCGCTGCTCCTGTAGCAGTTGGTTGGACAACGAGTGCATCTATTTCTGCCATTTAGACATCATCTGGGTCAACACACCGAGGTGAGTGTGTATATGAGGTACTTGACCAGTTTCGTCCCGTAGAATATGTCATTTTGATAACATGTAGACACATGACTTTTATAACATCTTGTGCATTTTAATAAATCCTTCTCTTCTTCTCATTCATCTCTGTACAGTAAGATAAGCCCTTTCGGTCTGGGAAGTGCTCTTTCCCGTCGCCGGCGTTCCACTGGTCGTTGTGAATGTGCCAATCCGTCTGATCGTTCCTGCTCCAGTTTCTGTCACACCAGGTGAGGTCAGACTTCTAGCTCCGCCCTGAAGATGAAATCAGATAGATACGTGTCATCTTGTCTGTCGCGGATGCCAGGCAGTCGGGTGTGAGCGGCGGAGATGAGGGCGATGTGTGTGGGAGGATTTACCGAGCTCTGATACGCATCCCTTTTTTGAGATAAAAGGAAATAAGGGAGTGAAAAAGAAACATCTAATGACTAAAGTAGTAATGAGTCATGCAGGTCCCAAAATCAAAGGACGGCTATTTGGACAAGTTTATTTTTATCAGAACAGTCCTGTGGTCGGCATTGGCTAATGTCTATATTTGTCTATGGATTTGGATTTGGATGCCAGAGCAAGTCATTGAAAAAAAGCTGAAATCTTTTATTATATATGAAGAGTTCAGATGCAAAAGCCTCTAAATGCCGTTTGAAATTTCCTTCTTTAATGATGATTTTTATCAAACTTGTATATTTAAGTTCAGTAATTTCATTGCCATTTAAGTGAAATTACTGGACTTAAATATACAAGTTTGATAAAAAATCATCATTAAAGAAGAAAATTTCAAATGGCATTTAGAGGCTTTTGCATCTGAACTCTTCATATATATATATATATATATATATATATATATGCAAAGCATATTATATACAATAGCATTACCAGTCAAAATTGGACACATTTGAATGACCAAACTGGCAGCTCTCAATCGGGTCATGGGGTTTATACGACCACAATCGACTTTTACTTAAGAAAAAAAAGGTTCCCTTCATCAAGATTTTATGGCTTTTCATGCATTATCTATCTATACACACACAAACAAAAACTAGGCTTGATTCAGTTGTTCTGAAATTATGAACTTTGTGGCTAAACAATGCATCATTTCCATTTGTAAAAAAAAAAAAAAAATTAATATGACCCCATATTGAAATAAATGGGAAATGTGAAAAAAAAAACCTAAATATATTTTCTTAAAAAAACAAAAAAAAATCCGGCATAAATCTGAAAATCTTTACACAGAAATGAAGGCCTACTAGAGCATAAATGCAATGCATCATAAAAAAATAATATTTGATATGCAAGCTAATGGTGTAGTTGAGGAATTGTGTGGTATATGGATACAAAAGTATTTTATATCTCCAAAAACACAGCATTAATGAATAGATGAGAAGTAAACAAAACAAAAGATATATTATTTGTATGATTAAAAATGTATATTTTTTGTACAATTACTCAATCAATTGTTGGGGTCGTATAGACCCCGAAGTGTAAACAGGAAACGAAGACCATTTGAAGGTTAACTGGTATTCTCAAATTTTATCTCCAGCTCAGAAAATCCAGATATGGAGATTGAGACCCAACTTGGTGACCAGTTAAATCACATGGGCAAAAGCAGTGATCATCTCCTGTCAACTCTCAGGTATATTTGCCATCAACATAAGCACTATTAGCACATGCGTTTGCTTCAGTTAACTCAAAATATCCTGCTTTGTGGCTAAACAATGCATCATTTCCATTTGCAGGAAGGTGTTTAAAGACAACCTCATTACAGCGTCACGATCCGCTGCAACCAAAAAGAAATCCAGAGCCAGGAATCTCTTGATCAGCTAGAGCGAGATGAAACGACACTCGTGAGAGCATTTGAACAAAACCCATCCTGGATGAAGAGGATCTGCCTTGAGTGAAGAAGGGGCAATCATGATGGATTCTCTCAATTCTGTGGCATGAACCTTCAGTTTCTTCAGTTGAGGTGGAAACGAAATGTCTGGGCGCCACAAGGATGATTAGGTGCTGAAATGAAGAAAATGAGAATCGTAAAAATCGCTGAAATACTGCAAACATTTTAGCAGGAAGTTATGGTGGGTTCCTTCTTGAAAAGACCAAAAAGAATATATGAAGAGTTCAGATGCAAAAGCCTCTAAATGCCATTTGAAATTTTCTTCTTTAATGATGATTTTTATCAAACTTGTATATTTAAGTTCAGTAATTTCACTTAAATAACAATTAATAGGTAATTATCATTGCAATTTAAGTGAAATCACTGAACTTAAATATACAAGCTTGATAAAAATGATCATTCTAGAAGAAAATTTCAAATGGCACTTAGAGGCTTTTGCATCTGAACTCTTCATATATATATATATATATATATATATATAACAAATAAAACCCTTTACCCTCAGACTGAAGGACTTTAGGTATAATCTCCACCCTTGACCCTATTTTTTTATTAATGCTTTATTTATTAGAGTTTTTCTCTGTATCAGAGATTAATTTTATTATTTATTTATTTATTCATATATTTAATTGTATTTGGAAATGTGTCTGATGCTTTCTATGATCAACTGCTCAATAATGAAGAAAAAGAAGAAAAAAAGCTGTAGCCGTGAGGAATGTTTATCTGTTTTCCTTTTACGACTTTTCCTTCCCTTCATTTTTTCCCCCGTTTCAGTGAATGCGGAAGTATTTATTGCATACTTTCAGTCGGGTGTTTTTATTGTTCAGATACCAGCAAGTTTCAATAGCTCAACACTTGCCAAGAAATGCTGTTATTGTTTTCCTAAATTACAAACCGGCTGCTGCTGTCTGCTGGGTCCATTGTGTAAAAAACTGTACTGCTACTGTACTTAGAGTTCCCATTACGGTCTCAAAATACCCGGAGTTACATGCAATCTGTTGTGTATTATTATTTACATGTCCAGAGTTCTGACTATTGTAATACATTTAAGTATCCTGCACCTGTTCTTGTTTTCTTCCTTATTCACAGATACTTGAATGTTTAAACTTGAATTGCTTTCATTCAGAAGTCAGTTTATTTATTGTATTTATTCAATGAAATCTATTTTTGTATCATTGTATCTATCAATAAAGAAACAGCATACTGTCAAATAACACAGAAGTCTTTATTGACTTATGGCAATTTTCGGTATTATGTCCAGATGAGTAATAACATTACATTCTTCCACAATATACAGTAAATCCCTCTTCGCATATATACATCACACTTTACAAAACACATTTATGAAACATGCAACTTTTAAAGGAAAAGGGGGCAACTCTTTATATGTGAACCAAATGTTATGTGAGAGTCATGTTTGTGGCTCCTTGAGCAATGTTCATGCAGAACTTCGGAGTACTGGGAATTCCACATGTGCATTCAAACAGGTGTGTAACATACTTACCTTAAAAGTCAGTATAAGTTAGCTATACGGGTGAGGTGAGACTAAAAACATTTGTGTTATTTCTTTTTTAAGCAGAGTTTGACAGTGTTCTGGGACGGTATTTTATCTTTATCTTGTGCAGTCTCTTTGTCTACCACCTCATTCCTGCTGCCTGAATGTTTACTCAATACGTTGTTTTGAAATTCCGAGTAACATTTAAGGTTTTCCATAATGTAAGAGGAGAATCTCAAGATCAGTTATGCGGGTTGATTTATAGAAGTTGGCTTATGTAAAGATTCTTTAGCAAAATGTTTAAAATTCCTTTTATAATTACTATGGGTTATAATGTAATAGAACTTTCAATTGAAAGAAAAATAAAAATGCAAAAGATGCAACAATTAAAAGATTATTATACTACACTCTCAGAAAAAAGGTACAAAAGCTGTCACTGGGGCTGTACCTTTTCAAAAGGTACACTTTTGTATCCAAAGGCTGCATATTGGTACCTTTGTGGTACATATTAGCACCTAAAATGTACATATTAGCACCTGAAATGTACATTAGCTCATGAAATGGACATATTAGCACCTAAAATGTACATATTATCACCTAAAATGTACATATTAACACCTAAAATTGACATATTAACACCTAAAATGTACATATTACCACCTAAAATGGACATGTTAGCTCATGAAATGGACATATTAGCACCTAAAATGTACATATTAACACCTAAAATTGACATATAGCACCTAAAATTGACAAAAGTTTACCTTTTGAAAAGGTACAGCCCCAGTGACAGCTTTTGTACCTTTTTTCTGTATTGTGACAGACAAATACATTTTTGAAAGGGCAGATGTAGGAAAATCCGTTTTTATAAAATGTCAGGTCGTGATTAATTGCGTTAATATTTTTAAAAATATTTTTCCAAAATTACAACAGGGAAATTGACGGCTTACCAACATGTCTTCGGCATATAGTGTTTTTAATAGAGCTAATTTCAATCGGATAATATTTAGTAAATATAAGTAGAGAATTTTACACCCTTATGTACAACTACTAAGACGGAAACCGATTTGCTCTTCACCTCTTGATTTCTTCACTCAGTTCTTTGAGAGTAAACAGCTGACTAAGTGTAAGAAAAAAACAGGATGCTGTCTGCACATTCCCGCCGCATTCCTGCATATGTGCAGTTCACAAACTACAAGGAAAAAGTTTGTCTTTCGAGAGGAACCAATCCGGCTAGGACGGAAACTGATTACGACTAAATTGTTGTGGTTGTCATAACACTTGTGTGTTTAGTTTTAATCTTTTCCTTTGTGTTCTTTAAGATTTTCAGTGTTGCTCAGGCAATTATCAGTGGATGCAGGTGCTCGTTTGTCCACAGGTTAGCATGCATTCATTTAGAGGAAATTTCTTCTGAATCATGTGTTTACCCAGTTTTCTCTTTCTGAAAGTTCCTATCCTTCCTTTTCTTGCATTGCAGGAATGTTTGCGTGTGTATGTGTGCCCCAACAAAATGCCCCAAGAGTTTAGCTCAAATTGGCAAAACCTACTTTTGGGATTGTCCTCTCAAAAGGGGAATTTACAATGCAATATATATAATAATAATAATGTATAAATAAATTGATAGTCCTGCTGCACGGATTTTCTTAATTATTCCAGATAATATCAAAAATGAATAATAATTGATAGGCCTACTTGTAATTTGACACTTATGACTGATCATGCCTAAACGCGTGTTCAGTGTGTGTTTAAGACCTGTTACAGTCAATTTAGATGCGTAAGAAATTAGTCCTACACACAAGACCGTTTTAATGACAAACATTTGACAAATGTGTTGATATGCATCATCTGAACAATGTTTTGAGGTGTGGGAACTGTAGTATAAGCAGAAAAATTGACTTCAGGCCGTAAAATAATGCACACCCGAGGTGTAACGGCCACTCCGCTTCGTGTCATGACCACATTACAGCCTGTGCATTATTTTTCTAATAATTCAAATTCAAATTCCAATAATTTTCTAAAAATTCAATGGCCTGTCGTCAATTATTCCTTACATGATTGGCAATGAATTCTGGAATTGAGCTCTCCATGAAGGTAAAGAAGTGTCTCTTTGCTGACTTGAAACAGAGCTCAAACTAGCCAACATTCAGACTTTCTTAGAGTAGAAAACAAGACTTTCATGTCCGGGCCTGAGACATGTTTGAGAATACCAGCTCGAGATGCAGATCACGGTCACTCCTGTGTTGTGGCACACGTAGAGCAGATGTCCAGAACAGTTAAACCTTTATAAACAACCTTCAGCAAGCTCTGTAAACAGTCCAATCTGTCAGTTTAATTGCATTGGATAACTATCTTAATTTCTCATTCAGAGCTGACAGTGATCTCTGGTTTACCCTCATCCACATACGGGAAAGTGAAGGTAAACCCAGTGACTCCTGCAGGACGGTGGAATCTGCTCGGATTCGTGTTGGAGGGAATGCTGGGAGTCACGTCGACTGCGAGCAGGTGCATGAAGGTACGGCTGTTGACTGCAGATGCAGTTGTTTCCTATAACAGGTCTAAACACTTGGCAGAAGCAAACATATTTGTTTTTGTAGGAAGCCATTACTGCAGGTTGTGTTTTACTATGGCAATTGAATTGTCTATTGGGTCAAGAACGGAAAAAATTCTCATGGGAGTCACGTATGAGAGCATTTCCCGCAGGGAAATATTACGTGTTTTGTAGAAGGAGAACCAGCTATTTCAAATGAAAGACATCCTCCCTCAAATCAGAAAGCAAAATACACTCTATTGAGAGGTACTCAACTTCAGAAGCACAGAAAGCAGTGTTTAAACAACAAATGCAACATAGTTCTGCAAAGCTGACACATAGAGTTTCACGTTGTATAGTACAATATTGACCCAGCCACTTGTGTATTTGTCTATGCATGTATAGCTTTGTGAAAAAAAGAAGTGCACAATAAGGACACTTCAGCATCTGAAGTGCACTAACAATAAGTGCACTTTAGATTATTACTTGTTGTCCCCTTCAATGTCTATTCTGGTTACGGCCCTGCTTTGAGGAACTTAAAAAAGTCCCCTTTCTGGAACCTTTAGTCACTAAAGTTTGGTGTATGGATGATTTAGTGTTTCAGTTCTCCTATACAGAGGTGCATTTCATACTATTATATGGCAACATCATTAATCAAACTATTGGCGACACCATGTCAACAAGTTAAACATGAATTGTTTCCTTGTCTGTGCTTTACCAAAAAGAATGCCAAATGATTTCTTGTAATCTCTTGTGTTTCAGGTATCACACATTTCTAAAACAGTCACATATCTATAATGTGATCAAAAAGATTATTTTCTTGTAGCAGTGTGTGTGGGGTTTTCCATAGTTGCCTGTAAATGAACTCTGACTGAGCTGGAATGATGGAACGGTGACATTCTGAGATCAGATTACCTTCATGCTTTTAATGAAAGATTTCATACTTAGAGTTTTAAATAAACCTTAAACTCTTATCATACCATAAGATGATGACATCTAACTAGCTGACTTGAAACCATTTTATTTTGCTTGTGGTCTCATAACTCCCCTTGTGGAAAAAAAAGTTAGGGGACTGACACAGATAAGAAGAAATTGTTGAATAAAGTCATTATTTTTGTTTGGTTTTTGCACACGCTTTTCAACGCTTCATAACATTAAGGTTCAACCACTGTCGTCACATGGACTATTTTAACTGGGGGTGGCAATCTCTAGGCAATTCAATTACGATTCAGAGGGTAACGATTATCAAT